TTATTGTGGTGCCTCATGATAAGGGTGCACCCACAATCGACACTCCGAATCCGCGCACTTACCTTGGCAAATGGTTCGACGATGCGAAGAAGGTTGACCTGCAAAAAGTCTTGACTGAGGTGCTTTTTGAAATGTTTGTCCAAACTACGAGCGTCGCAAAGGATGAAAATATATGGGAAAAGTTTTTGGACTGGGAAAGAATCAAACTCACAGATATGCAGTTGGAACGAAAATCCCCTGAGACTCTTCCTTCAAACCCATTGAATGTTTCAAATTTGGAGGCTTTTTGGATGTTACAATCCCTTTTGCAGGACGAGTTCATTGCTCTCTCTAATGAGGAGATCGCTAGGATGACGTTTGATTTGCCATATTGTCCGACAGAAGGGCCTATTCCCCAACCTTTTTTCAGATATGCAAGGATACAACGTCTTTTAAAAAGGATTCCTCCGATGGTTCATTCTTCCGCTCTTCATTCCGCTCCGGTCCGTAGACTCCCCCTTCCAGCAGCATGTCCTCCAACTTTTCAACGTCTTCCGGATTATACTCCCCCATCCACTATGTCAACGCCGATTGTCACTGCTTCTGTTGTTGTTTCTGCTTCGCCTGCCGCTACGGCTACTCCGTCTCCTGTCGGTTGTATTGTGCCCGCTCCCACGCCGTCGAGAGACCATCTCCATGTCTTTTACAAGACCCTTGGAACAACAAAGTTCTTCTAATTTTAACATTGCGATCTATGACTCTCTTGAATCTATTGGTCTCAAAAAGACACTTGCACACCTGTCCTATCTTGACAGTTCTCGCAGGGTGGAAGATATTGTGGAAGCAGCAATGCATTTGAATACGAACATGAACACTTGGAGATGTGTGGATGCTGCCATTCGTCTCGATTACAATCGGCAAAGACAGACTCGATTCGGAACTTTTGAGGAGTATCGTCGCAAAGTGTTGCAACAGGTTTCTATTCGTGAGCTGCAACAAGAGTACCGTTCCAATGAAGGAAGTTGATATCTCTACTAAGAGAGATAGGAAGAGAGAGGTGTTGATTCGGCAGTCGTTCATACGTTGCCTTAATCATAATTTTTTTGATGGTCAACTTTTCTTTCGGTTAAGTAATTGCCCTTACAAGA